GAAGATTACAGCCCACTTGACTGACAGTGGACAAGTGTGGCAGTGATCAAAGCAAACATATTAGTTTGCCAGCTGATAGGATGCACTGAGAAGAACATGGTGTAACTTCTTTGATATTCCTGCCAAAGATGCACACCTGAACTTAATCATGAGAAAATGTCAGGCTAACTCCAATTGGGACATTCTACAAAATAACTGACCTGCATTCTTGAAAAGTATTGAGGTCATGCAAATTAAGAAAACACTGAAAAACTCTACCCAGAGTGAAAGAGACAGGACAACTAAATGCAATTCATTAGTCATTCTGTAAAGGACATTATTAGGAAACTGGCAAAACTTAAAACCGGGCTTAAGGATTAGATACAGTGATATGTCTGTTAATTTTCTGATTTTGATGTTTGTTACCTGGGTATGTAGGAAAATTCTCTTCTTTGTAGGAAATACACACTGAAGTGTTTAGGGGTGACTGGCAACTTACATCAGGAAAAAGAAATACTTTGTATTCTATTGTACTTAGAAATTTTCTGTAACTTGGAGGCTGTTCCTCCCAAAAAAGTAAAAACAAAAACTGTTTCTGCTAAGGGATTGAATTCTTGTTCTGTTGGTGGGTTTCAGGTCCCTGTAGTTAAAGGGAGAAACATTCTCTGTTGCTATACAGATGCTAGTAAGAGGAGCTTCTGTAATCAGTCCTGGTTTGTGAATTATTTTATGGAGATGCAGGTACTCAGAAAGTTTACATATAAAAATCTGCCCTTTGTCTTTGTAGGTGTGTGTATATGTGTGTGGATGTTTTGATCTTACAGATACCTTATTAGTTTTTGAAGGTAGCATTTTGTACCTTTTAATATTTCATTTGAATTACTTTAAAAAAATTGCCTTTCGCTTTTATTTCTTGGTTCACATTTTATAGGTAGAGTTTAATATTTAATATCTTATAACGGTAAGTTTACTATCATTTTAAATACTTATTCACAATAATTTTAACATTGTTATGAGTGATAATAAGAACAACTCCTCTTTATTGAGTATTGGGTGTTGAGTATTTACACAAGTTAACCTCTTGGTGTTGCATTTTTCTCTCCTGAGAAATGGTAGTAAGAGTCCTTTTTCTTCATAGTATTGTGAGACTTACATGTCAAAGTACGTTTAAAAAGTGCTTAAAACAGTATGTACCTGATTTGAGGTGCTTTAATAAGTGTTAGCTAATTTATGATTATAAGTATCATTACTATGTTCTATATTTGCATATTTCATTGAATCCTCACAATTAGCCTTTGAAGGTAGGTATTATTTCGCCTGTCGTACAGGTGGGAAAACTAAAATTCTGAGAGGATTAGTAATTTCCTTAAAACCACAAACCTAGTAGTGACAGAGCCAGGATTTTAAACTATGTTTATCAAACTTTAAAGCCCATACTTAAATAATTACCTCTGTGTAGTGTTTTTTTCTCTCCTTTTTTACCAGAAATAATCAACAGAAATAATCAACATTGATATTTCAAGCACTTTACATTCTAGCCTGTTTACTTAAAATGAAATGTTCAATTTATATGCCCAGTAGTGAATATAATAACGGCAGTACTTTATTCAAAATATGGAAGACTATTAGAAGTATGGACAAAATTATACATTTTTCTTTTTAAAAGGGAGCATTTACTGAAAGAGCACATATTAAAAGACAAAAGTAATCTCTCACCAGTTACCTTTATAATAATAATGTTTTTATTGAGAATTAATAAAAAGTAATATTTAATTCTGTTGAAGCAAAACTAATATTTAGTTTAGCTCAGATGAAGAAGTTTACTAGTGTCCTAAAAACTGCCTGAAAGATAACCTCTTTGTGGTGGTGGATATTGATCATGTTTATCTCTTGAAACTAGCTTTTGTGAGAATGCACCACCCTGGTTCTCCTTTGCCTTTTCTAGCTGTGTGCATCATTGGCTAAGCAGATGCTCAGCCTGACCTGTGATTACAAACTGCTCCATGCTGTGCGTTTGTTACCTGTATCTTTAATCTCTTGAACAAGGGACCTTACCTTGTCTTCAGCTTCAGCTTTGTTCATGACTTTTTCCAGTGTCTCAGCTGCAGCACAATCCAGTATTTATTTCCAAGTCCTTAGTAGTTATATTCCAAATACTGTTAAATTCGGAATATATAAAACCTCATTCATTGTCTTTCCACCAGTATCTTCTAGGAGTGTGGGGTAGATTGTGAGGGGAGGGTTTTCCCTCTCTAAGCTATTTCTCTTATTAAGGTCTATTCCTAGAAATCTTTTCTGTTTCATCTTTATTCAGAGGAGTAATGCCTTTCAGATTTACTTTATTATTCCCCTTTCCTACCATGATCAGGACCCAGTCACTCAATACCTATTATTTCAACTGCTGCCTAGATGGTCTACACTGTGCTACTCTCATTTTAAATATTGCATTTACCGTGTTATCCCTCTGAATAAATATCCACGATGGCCCCTTTATCTTTCACTTGATTCTCAGGGTCCCTAATTATGTCCTCGATTTACATATACACACTTTTTTCCTTCTGTGTGTGAAAGGGTGGGACTCTGGTTATGCCGGTGCCTTCACTACCTTTTCCAGGGAGACACAGTTGCTCCTCCGGTGCCTTTTTCCTTGTCCCCTTAGCCTGCTGTGCCCTCCTTCCTGCTTGAGCAAGCCCTGCCCAGCTTTATATTAAGTCCTAGTTCAAACCATGGCCTCATGAAGCCTTTGTACTCCATTAGTCTGCATAATCTCTAAATTCTTAACGCACTTCCCTGTTGTACTTCATTGTTTAGAACTTAATATTATATACATATCGTGTTGTTCTAATGTTAGTGTCATCGAGGTACTTAATAATACTTTTTGATTAGTCAAAAAATTGCAGCTCTCTTGCAGTTGCATATTTGACAAATGAACAAAAGGTAGAGACTTTCTCTACTGTTCAAAGGATCTTACTCTGATTTTTTAGGGTAGAGGAAGGGAAGGAGGAAAGAAAGAAAAAAGGGTAACATTATTTTCTAGTTGCTGCATATATTCAAAGGATAGATAAAAGAAAGTTATGTATAAAAAATTTTCATGAAAAATTAAATGAAATATGCAACATAATTTTTCTGGGTTTGGAAATTCATTTTTATAAGCCTTGTTGGGTTTAAAAGAAATCGAGAATAAATGTGTTCAGTTACATATCTGATATTAAGTTCTTAGGTATAACCTAATTTATCAAGTCTTTTAAAAATGTAGGGAATTTTAAAAAATACATTTTATTAATTTTTTTTTTTAAGAAATTTTATTGGGGAACAGTGTGTTTTTCCAAGACCCATCAGCTCCAAGTCAAGTAGTTGTTTCAATCTAGTTGTGGAGAGTGTAGCTCCTTGGCCCATGTGGGAATTGAACCAGCATCCTTGGTGTTATGAGCCTGTGCTCTAACCACATGAGCTAACCGGCTGCCCCCTAAAAATACATTTTAGATAGTCAAAGTATTTCAGCTAAACTCTGCCTTTTTGTGAATAGTTGTTAAAATGTCAGGATGTTATCTAGAACTACTTATACATAAAGGTCTAAGAATGATTATTTGTAGAAAGGGCATTTAGCATGCTAGTTAAGTAAATTTGATCAGTAGGTGACTGAAACACTGCTAACATATTTTACTGTTATTTGTTGGGGTAGCCATTTAAAGATCGCTGTGAATGGTTCTATGAACATTTGCATTCAGGACAACAGGATTCAGACATGGTGCACAGGCCAGTGAATGAAAATGATATCCTGCTGGTTCACAGAGGTATGTTTAATGGAGAAACAGATATGCATGGGAGGCACAAAATACCAAGTATTATAACTTTTAATATGTAAAATTAACCAGTGCTACATATTTAGATTCTATTTTTAGGAGTAGCTGTGAAGTTGTGTCAAAAGCAAGTTGTGCAAAACTAAAGCAAGGAATTGCTGTACGGTTCCATGGAGAAGAAGGCATGGTGGGTGTAAAAAATAAGTGCTGTGACAATCACTGTATATAAAAAATTGAAATGCACTTGAAAAAAATTTAATACTTAATTGATAATGGAAGAAAGTTAATATGATTTTAATTTTATTGTTTAGAAAAAAAATTCCCCCATATTATATATTTCTGTTGATACTTAATTTTATTTTCTTGAACTTAGGGTCAAGGTGTTGTGCGTGAGTGGTTTGATATTCTGTCTAATGAGATAGTCAATCCCGATTATGCATTGTTTACCCAGTCAGCTGATGGTAAGTTGTACAGTCTAGATGACTTTTTCTGTGACTTGTCACATTTTCAAACTATTTCAGTGCATTTTATTTTTTTATTCCCATAGTAGCCCTGTGAGATAGGTGGGGTGTTCTCATTCCATAGAAGAGAAAATCGAAATTCACAGTTTTTGTCTACGTCAACATAGTTAATGAGTGGTAGGCTCATGAGTGGAACCTGACTCAGTCTAGTATTCTTTTCCTCTAAACAGTTAGCTCTCAAAGGCTTGTCCCGGGTACCAATGCTGGCCCCAAGGACGTTTGTCCTTTAGTTGACTTTTTTGAGTTAAAATTTCCTGTTGTGAAATAGTGGTAGTAGATGGACTTAAAAATAATACAAATCCTCATTTGGAAAAATTAAAATTTGGTAACCCTATTTGAGTTTCCAAGTCTTAAAATTTATTGGTCATAAAAAACAAAGCCTAGAAATCGTGGTGTTAAATCTTATAATCTATTTATGTATAGTAACCTAGTTTTCAGTCCTTTTAAGAAATCAAGACCTTTCAACTAGAAAGCTCTCATTTAACCATATATATAATACAGATAAAAAAACTGTTGAAATGGTGCTTGTGACCTAAAGAATTATAATTTGATATTGTAGGCTAAATGGAAATGGTTAATACTGCCTTATTTGTGTGAGGTATGCTTGAGAGTTCTGTAACTTAATAAAGACATACCCAAGTGAAGGTGGGATTTCAGTTTTCATATGCTTTGCACAGTTGCTTTTATTTTTTAAAAAGTTTTTTTCCAAGTGTTTAAATTCTGTTGTAAGCATAGAGTGCCTCATTAATTGTAGTTCCTGATAGTATCTAACCAAAGGGGCAGCAAATCTCCACTGAATAAGAAGGATGACTTGAAGAGAGGCAAGTGGCGGGGGGGAGAGGGGGGCTGCAGTGATGCTAGGCACCTGAAGGTATTCACCTATGTGGTGGGCTCCTCAGATACACCTGATATATTTGAAATTTTTTAGGGATATGGAACTGCCTGCTTTAACTCTGTAATCTTTGATTGTTTGCTCTGAGGTGAATTTGGTGAATTTGAAAAGATTGATGAGGCGCTAAGTTTAGTTACTTAGGCCTAATCTTTGACGTAAGATTTAGCATTAAAACATTGTATTTTAAGATGTTTTTCTTTTCTTTATGGCCCCTTATCTGAGCCTATATAGTTACATACCTGATTTGGTGTGGAATCATTAGTTGAGGTATTCCTCATACTACAAATTTATAGCAGAGTATATATTGAAGCACATGGTCTGTAACGATTGTGATCTGTCCTTTAGCCATATGAATGTTCTCTTTGGGGTCATAGTATTAATAACTTAAAATCTACATGAAATTGTTCTTTTGTTTAGTTGATATGAAGAGAATTACATTTAAGAATTTAAAAATTCCTAAATGTGGGAAATGTTTGAATAGACCTAATGTCTGTAATAATTTCTTTAAAACTTGCTTTTAATTAAATTAAAAGGTGCTTACTGTAGAGAAGTAATGTAGTGTAGTGGCTGAGTTTGGCCTTTGGTGTTACACTGGGTGTGAATCCTGCCTCTGCCCCTGTTTTTGCTATGATCTTGGGCCGGAAAGTGTAACTTTCGGCACCTCAATTTCCTTATTTGAAATGGTGATAAGCTATTTTTTTGTGATATAGTGAGAAATCAATTAGCTGTTGTATAAAAATGCTTAGCCCAGTACCTGGCACATAGAAAGCAGAAATAACTATTGGTATTATTCTGTGAAAACGATATTTTCTTGTGCAATAGGATTTTTCTGAAGTGATTAAAAATAGCCAGGAGTGTCACAGTTACATTACTTTGAACTTGAAACATAACGTAAACTTTATATTCTGTTTTAACTAGTTTTCAAGTTAGAAACTATTATTTGTTTCCTGAACATTTTTCCCCGTTTGTTTCCTTTTTCTTCTTTGATTGCTCCTTATCTATGCTTTGTAATAACCCAGACTGCCCAGAAAGTACTTAGAGAAGGAATTATACACAGACCTAGGGGAGGAAAGTTGAGTCATCAGAAATCTTTGCTGGTTCATCAGTAACCCTAAGGCATCACTGTTTTAATAGGTAAAAAATATTTGTGGTTATTTTCAGAACATTATGTTTTTTGAAATTATGGATATATTGGTCTTTGAAGTCTTTTTTTTTATCTCACAGAACTTTGCTTTGACTCTTACATTACGATAGGGAATGATACTCAAAAGGTACTCAACACTGAATGACTAGCTAGCTTCGTGTGTGTCTTTTAAGTCATTCAGCCATAAGCTTTCATACGTATACCTTATATCTAAGTAAACTGGCCACGACAATTTAGTCCAGTGTCAACTCTGATAAATCAAAGACAAATGAAACATAAAGTGAATTATTGTGAAAAATGTATACTAAATGACCAAACATTTCACTTTTCAATATTTTTCCATTATTTTTTTCCGATGTTTTTTCATTAGGTTTATCAGTTCTTCTTTCTTTTAGCCCAGGTGTCTAGGAGAGTATAAATAGCATGAGTTCAGTAAACATTTGTTGAATGATGAGAGAATTTATAATCTGAGTTAGGGATCATCACAGAAAAACAGGGAAGGAGGGTTTTTTTAAATTGAGATCTTGGTATTAGGTTTTTCCATTGCACTAGATTTTTTTCTTTTGGGACTTTTTTTTTTATTGTGGTAAAACATGCATTAGATTAGATTTACCATTTGAACCATTTTAGAGTATATAATTCAGTGGCACTAAGTACATTCACAATCTTGTGTAACTATCACCACTCTGTTTTCAGATCTTTTTCTTATAAGTGGAATCATACTCCATTGCTGTATATTTTGACAGTAATCGGTAACTATTTCCCTTGCCGATTTTACTTTTATACCTCAGTGGTACTTACTTAACCTCAATTATGTGTCATGAGAATGAAATGGTTGACTTGTGGTCTTTGGTGATATTCTGATAATTGTTAATAAAAGGCAGCAAGTTCACTGATGAGGTCTATCACTTAAGAACAGTTTCAAATGGTTAGCTATTCTCTTACAGCACTCTATTCATTATGGAGCAAAAAGTAGTGAGCGTCTACTGCTTTGGGCCTATACAGGTGAATGTGACAATATGTGCCCTAATTCACAGCCTAGTAGTTATTGCCCCACAATGCCTAGGAAAACGTGTGTGTGTGCGCGCTGAGGGGAGGCGGGGGAGGATGAGTGATCTTTTAATATATTATTCGCAGGATCTCTGTGACACATCTTACAACTGCTTTTAATTAAAAGTATTCTAAAATCTGCGTAGAGACTTACTGTGATGTGTATGTGTGAATTAATGATTATCTTTTATATTTCCAATTCCACTGCCTATTATATATTCAACAAAGAGTATTCCTGTGGAAGTTTATATATAATGTAAACTTAGCTAAAGTTTTATTGAACTGATTTATCTGTTTTGAAATGATCTTGCTTCTATATAGATTCTTAAAAGTAAATTATTTTGTATTTATTTTAATAGGAACAACTTTTCAGCCTAATAGCAACTCCTCTGTAAATCCTGATCACTTGAACTATTTCCGGTTTGCTGGACAGATCTTGGGATTGGCTTTGAACCATAGGCAGCTGGTCAACATTTATTTCACAAGATCATTCTACAAGCACATTCTTGGTATGATTCTATTGTTCTTTCCATAGGCATTTATTTAAATTGTTTTTCATATAGTCTTTAGAGAAAACCAAGTAGATAGATAAGGGGGGAGCAGTTTGGATGAGATAATTTTTATTTCTATTGGAGACTGTCTGTGTATGTAAGGCATTTGGAGACCTGGGGGAAAGAAAAAACAATCTACTTTTTCCTAAAAAACTTTTTTTTTTTTCCATTTTAGTGTGTGTACGTTTATGTTAAGAATGCATTTTAATATGAATATACTTAAGAGAATTGGAATTTTTGAAGTTTACAATAATTTCCTGAATAGCTCTTTCAAAGAAAAATATGGAAAAAACATAAGCTTCAATTAACAGATCTTTAAATTCAGGAATTAGCATCCATTTAAATTATGCTGTGAATTGGATTATATTTTGCAGTTTTGCAGAGTATCTGCAGAGGGCAGTATTTTACCATTAAACAGATAAGGAAAGCAGAAATATTTAGAATATAAATGCTGTATGTTTGCATTTTTAGGTATTCCTGTAAATTACCAAGATGTGGCATCTATTGATCCCGAATATGCCAAAAATTTGCAGTGGATTTTAGATAATGATATTAGTGACCTGGGTCTAGAGCTAACTTTTTCTGTTGAGACTGATGTGTTTGGAGCAATGGAAGAGGTGCCTTTGAAACCGGGGGGTGAAAGTATTCTTGTCACACAAAATAACAAAGTGAGTATCTGAATTTTTACCTTAGCCTTTGTTTGTAACTTGGCCCTGATAGTTTGCTAATTACTCTGAAGTCTCCTGGCACTAGCTAAAAAAAATTTTTACTGTTCAAGTTTGATAACATTTTGTAAAAGATAAAATATTAAGTTAACTAAACGATCAAATATCAAACTTTGAAATTAGAATGGATCATTTTAATATTGTGTTAGATATGCTGAGGCAGTTCCTGAAGCAGCCTAGAGCACAATTCAGTTGATTGCATAAATTGGGCGTCTACATATTAAACAATTTGATTAGAAATAAAGCTTACATCGAGATCATGTTTGAACTGATTACCATTTCATGTTTTAAAAGTAAGATATTAAAGACTTTCAATAGAGAAAAGAAGAAACTCCATTGTTTAAATTTTGCACATGCTTTTCGGATACACTAAATCTGTTACTGAACTTGGTATCTTTTTAACTTTATAACTTATTTTTATATATTATTATAGCTCCTGTTTATACATATGATTTTGTGTTTTAAATTACACTGTTGAAAAATCATGTTACTCTATAATACAGTTTTATGTTTTAATATATTAGGAAGTTAGGAGTCAGAATATCTGGTTTTAGAATTCCAGTTCTGTGTCTTACCAGTAGCAACTTATGGTTAAAAAAGACTAAAACCTTTTTCCTTTCCTGTAGTTGGATTATAAATTCCAAGACAGCTTCAGAATTAACTAACTATGAAAAATAAAGTTCATTGAGCCATTTTGTAGACTAGAGATTTAGTAAAATGTAGATTTTTTTTAAAGGCCAAAAGATTTGGCCAAGTTTAACCTACCCTCTTTGAATCTCAGTTTTCTTTTTGTAAAATTGGGATAATAATGCTTCCCATGCAGAATTGTTACTGGCATTTTGTAAACTGAAAAGCACAATACAAAAGTTATTTAATTGGATGGTTTTCTATAAAAACAGACTTTTAGTATAATTTTATATCTAATTGTTGATGCTTAAACATTTAATGCTTATTCAATAAGCTACCTGATTAATTTTTAAATACTAAAAATCTTTAGAAGCATACCTATATCTCACTTTAAAATTGTTAAAAAGTATTCAATTTACAAATAAAATTTTCAAACCTTGTTCTTTAGAGGTATTATTTTTTAACATACATTTCTGTCATGAACTTTTCTGTTACTTTATGGTCTTTATAGGTAGAAAGTTGTAATTGTCATGTTTGGAGTTCAACTTCAAAATTTAAAAGCATATTGAAGCTTAAATGACTTGCCAAGCATGTTAGTGACAGAAAGTCCATGTAAGTTGATCTCCACATGGGGGAGTCATTTATTCCTAAATTTTATTGAAAGGCTTTGGTAATTATAGAATGAAACCAAATAGATGAAAATACCTTTGTTTAAAAAGCGGCATATTAAAAAATACAAGTAACGTAGTGCAGAAGACTATATATCAATTCCACATTTAAACTATAATGCTATTTTAAATTTAATTTTGTATCTGACAGTGATTTGTTTTAAAACCTAAAGTGGTAGGGTGGGGAGGACCTTCTTTCACTTTTGAAAATGGCTGAAATACCAGGAGCTGACCATTTACATTTAAATGTATTTTCATCTTTGTTTTAAAATTTTGCTTTCACATTTTTACTTTCAGTTTTAAATTCTTGATCAAAAGCTGAAATCGCAGAACCATAAAATGTTGAGTTAAAAGTGACATTATTTGCTTAGATCTTCAGTTCTACCTGTTAGAACTGAAGAGTAAGCTACATGGATTTTAAATGTTAACACTTTTACAATACTAATCAGAAAGTTCATTCAGGCTGGGAGGGGGAAAAGTTGGAGTAGGGTGGGACAGGAAATCGGCATGGAGGAGCTTGCATGGAAGTTGAATTACAGAGGAGAAGCTTTAACTGGTCAGATAGGAGTAAGGAAGAGGAGAAGGAAGTGTCTGGGTTTACAGGAAGGCACAGAGTTGACCAAGCCTGTGTTTGGGGAACCACAGATAGGTGAAAGTTGTAGATCTTAGCTTTGCAAAATAAGTGGGAAAAGAGGTGAGGGAGATAGATGGACAGGGGCCAAATTCTGAAAGGCTTTGCATTCACAATTAGGAATTTGAAAATTATTCTGAAGGCTATGGGGATGATTGTAGATGCTATAGAGGAGTGACATGATCGAGTTTCTGTTTTTTAAGAAAAACAAACTCAACTTGGAGTGTGAAGAATGGATTGAAATGAGGTAGTACTGGAGTCAGGGTAACTGATACGTGGTTGTGGCATTGGTCTGTGGAGTATGCATTACGGATTTTATAAGACAGTGGCAGTGAGGCTGGAGAAAATGAGATAGCTTTCAAGGATATAGAATTTATAGAACTTGGTAATTAACTGTTTGGGAAGGTGAAAAACTACTCAAGGGTGACTGCCACTTGTATGGATTGGCCCCCAGAATGACTATTGGTGTTGCTGTGCTCCTTTTTATCAACCTCATTACCATCAGTTCTAGTTTCTAGTGATAATAAAAGCTATTGCCTATTGAGTAATTTGTATATATTTCATGTATTTGAGATGTGTTCTTTGTGCATTTCTCATTTACTGTAACAGCCTTTTGAGATAGTTATTTCTATTTATTGAATGTGGAAACAGCTTTAATATTAAAAGCATCTGACATTTATTAGGTGCTTATAATGTGTTAGGCACTGTTCAAAGTGCTTTATGTGTATTAATTTATATTTAAACAATCCTATGAAGTGTGGATATCCTTTTCTATGGGTCAGAAAACTGAAGCATAAAGGGTTTAAGTAGCTTTCCTCCAGATCACATGGTTAATAAGCATTGGAGCTAGCATTTGAACCCAGGCAGACTATAAATTCCAAGCCTGAGCTTGTAACTATGACACTACATTTCTTTAGAAGTTAAATAACTGTCTAAGGGTTCAAAAGTAGTAAGTGGTGTACCCTCAGTTTAAATCAAGATCTGTTTCAATCATTCTGTAACTGATCGACCTCTCATTTACTAAGTCAGTGAATATGAACAAAGTCAAATACAAATTTAGTATGTTATCCTCCACTTAGTTTTTATATGGTTAATAACTTTATATTTTATTGCTAGTTTCACTTGATTTATTTTGCACACAAACACATTTGATGTACATATAAGCACAAAATAAAGGCATGTGTGTGTGTGTGTGTGTGTGTGTGTGTGTATTGACTTAAAGTGGATTAATTATTTTTATCTTCATAAAAATATTCTGTGAGAGATTTTTTTATTACTCTGAAAACTTTTAAACAGTTCAGGTCTGAGGTTCTCCATGTTGAGTATATGTGTGTATTATTAGATTAGGTTTTAAAAAAATTATTTTTAATATCTTCCTGTCAACAAGGAAAACATACTTTTCCTTGCATTTTAGTTAGTATATTCTAAAAATTCACCAAATCTACGAAATGGTAACCTGAAGAATCACTATTTTCAATGACTAAATTTTTTTTCAAGATAACTGAAGTAATAGGATTTTTACCAGACTATCATTCTATGTAACTAACTAATTTGTGACCTTAAAAATAAGAATATACTGGTAAAGAAAACATTATCGAAAAACATTACATTGTAAAAACGTACCTCTCCTTTTTCTTATATCTACAATAATTATTCCTACAACAGAAACCAGGTATTCTTTTGAGTTCTAAGTGGAGAAATTTTCAGTGTGAGCTCTTACATACCGGAGCAACCATAATCAAGTAGATAAACCCAGAAAAGAAGCTTAAGTCACCAAAGGATTTCTATTCAAACAGTGAATTGAATTGCCTTTTAAACTGTTAATTGCTAAAAAAAAAAAAACTTCTAGACAGTTTTACAAATGTGGCAGTCTACTTAGAGGGGAGGAAGAAGAAAATCTTGTTTTCACTATTAAAAGTTGACTATTATTATTTGCCTTCATAGGTAGTGGGAATGCAGCCAGTGTTTCTATAGCACGGTATGAACAGCCAAAATGTTAGTGTATTATAATAGTGGATAGTCATAGTAATAATTGTATCATCATGAAATTGTTAATGTGTGTTATTTTGTTTAAGGATGTGCTGTTTAAGGATGTAGATCACCATATGGTAGAAGCAGTTAGATGTAGGTTTTTTTCTGTTTGTTGTAGATTTTACCTGTTAAACACAGTTATCATTCAACCACCTGGAAAACTTATTTTACTATACTCAGGAGTATTTGTGATGGCTGAGATTTTATTATTTTATTGAGAAATAATTTAGATCAAGATCCGTTCACATTTAAATTATCTTACTGTGGAGACTCGTATCTGAAGGACCTGATTTTCACAAAAATTGATATCCAATAACTATGGGCCAGAGTTACAGAAATAAATGTAAAATGTAATTAATATTAGTTGGACTAGAAGGGACCATGTGAGGAAAGTTTGGTGTACTGTGAAAATTAATTTCTAAAAATAGAATGTATGAGGAAATAATAGGAATTGATAAAAAAGAATGTGTACTATTTTTATAAATGTGGAATGCAATGGCAAATTAAAATAGTTCAAGTGTATTTGAACAATTTACAAATCTTTTACCCTCAGTCTTCATAATTTATTAAGGCCTTGAGCAGTGATTATTGAATGGTACCTTGAGGTAAAATTAAAACCTCTTGGGAAAAAGCTGTTCTTATTAAGTGGGAAGATCGGGTCTCATATAGCACCTTAAACATATGATTAATGAATGAATGGAACAGAAAAATTGTAGTATGTTTAGTAAGCAATTTTAGTAAGAGCAGACATAAATTCAAAGGTAATAAGGTGCTAATGCTGAAATAACTGGTGGTTATCATTTAGAAGTATGTTATTATTTATTATTTCTTGATTGGACCCTGAAAATTTAGTTTTATGTTTCTGTTTGATTGTTTGGCATACGTTTCTGTCTCCCTCTCCCTAATAACTAACTGTATGTAACTTGTAGTAACTGATTAATTACTATTGGGTTGTCGGAAAAGTTATGATGCGTTTTTGCAACGAAAAACATAGAAAAAATACGTCATGACTTTCCCAACAACCCAATATATAGTGGGGAAAAACCTTTGGGTGGTAGGGAGTGGGATTTGGATAAGAAGAGATTAAATAGCAGAGATGACAGCTTTCCCTGTGCCAGATTGTAGAAGGAGCCACGTGGGGTTTGGGGAGAGTTGTAAGGAATTCACTGTGACACTTATGTAGCTCTGAGATATATAGAGACTTCCTAGCCAGTAGTCATGTATAACTTGCTGGTTCAGTGCCTGTGGTTTTTTTTTGGGGGGGGGCTGGGGGAAGGGAGGGCTGAGGAACAGAGCATCAGATAAGTGCCAAAAAATATATATAATAATAATAAGAAGAAGAAGTAAAGGATAAAGGAAAGGTCTTAAAACAGGCTTTCTTCCCTTTGTGTTTAGAGCATTTGTTCCTAGGACGGGAGAACTGTTGGGTTGTCGGAAAAGTCATGACGCGTTTTTGCAATGAAAAACAGAAAAAAATACATCATGACTTTTCCAACAACTCTCTCTCTCTCTCTCTCTCTCTCTCTCTCTCTCTCTCTATATATATATATATATATATATATATATATATATAAATCATTACATTTAACTCACAAAGTTTTACTTAGATGTAATTTAAAATATGTAAATGATAACAATTGATAGAGTTTATCTATCTGTAGATCTATAGATATGATGATTCATTCTGGTCTGAACCAAAATACAATTTTTATTACCAGTTAAATTTTAAGTGATACTATGTTCTACGTTGATGATGATGTATTTTTAAATCAAATGTGTGAAAATAGCTTACCTTAACTCAGAATCAAATTGGCTATGCTCAAATGAGCTATTTTATCAAGTTCTAAGTGAATGAATTTGTTGAATGTATGTATTTATCACATATTTGTGGAACACTTACAAAGTGACCGCCACTGTTTTAGGAGCTGAGGATATATCCTGGTAAACCAGACAGAGCCCCAGCCTGCAGAGAGATTACACCTAATGAGATGTTTCTGTCAGACACACCAGGAACTAGAAAGACACTGAGACAAGCTTATGTTGAGGGAATAGAGTGAGTGAGCAAGGGGGGAAGTGGAAGGAAATGAGAGAGAGAACGAGGCAGAGGCTCTGTCATTTAGGGCCTTATAGACTAGGAAAGGAATTTGGATTTGACTTTGAAGTGTCATGGGAAGCCATTGTAGGGTTTTCAGCAGGAGAGCTGTGCGATCTGAATCATATATGAAGTTACATATAAAACATATTAAATCTCTCTGTGGTGTGGAGAAGCAGCAGTACAGAGGCAAAATGGAAAGAGGGACAGCAGATGTTGCCGTATCTGGGGGAGAGATGATGTGGCTTGGACCAGGGTGCTGAAGGTGGAGCTGGTGAGACAAGGTCAGATCGAGAATACTCTTTGGAAGTGGACCTGCTAGGACTTGCTGTTACAGGGTGTGAGAGAAATCATGGGTGATTGGATTCCTAGGATTTCGGCCTAAACAGTTTAGTGAAGGGTAGAGTACTGGTCTGCTCAGATGCATGAATATTGGTGCTAAATTAATTCTAAACCTTTACTACTTAAATGAGAAATGTTTGTATCAATATTATCTTAAGTATGTGGAATTTTAAAAAGTATCACAATTTTTTTTTTAATAGGCGGAGTATGTCCAGCTTGTTACTGAACTTCGGATGACAAGAGCCATTCAGCCTCAGATCAATGCTTTCTTACAGGGCTTTCATATGTTCATTCCACCTTCCCTCATACAACTTTTTGATGAATACGAATTGGTAAGGGCAAACGGCAGTTCTTTTGTTGTTATACAACAGTACAAAACTCCAATTGATGTACTTCAGAAATAATTTTGGAGTACTGTGATGAATGGAATAATGTATAAGACATAGGGTTTTAATGTTCATGTTTAGAGGTTTGTTAAAAGGTTTGTGATTGGGGTCCTCCTCAGCTTAATAAGCAGATTAGCAATTCTTTAATGTGAAATGGAGTGTGGTAGTGATAAACAAAACTGGAATATTATTTCCAAAGTATTATACATGGGAGATATTGAAGGCGAGTCTTCCCAGAAGCAAGATACCCATCATTTCTGAATTTTTTATTTGGCCATATGAGGTAAAGGATACTGATACTAACTTCTTGTAATTCCAAAAAAAAGAATTGATTAAGAGGATTTTTCTTGGTGTATTTGTGTTATCTTCTCCAGCTTCTTACTTCATCATATATACAAATTTTATAATTTTCCATTTTAAACCTCTGTGGAGTCCACCTCCTTGCTTGTCCCCAGTCTCTCATGAATGTTTTGTTACGCTCCTTTAATTTGCCAGCCTTTCACTGTTATCTAATGAGATTTCTAATTATATATGATTTATGTCTGCATTTTCCCCCATTTTCTTTTTCTCTTTTATCTTTGGTAATAAATTATTTTCAAACTCTTTGAGTTTCTAACTCCTTAACAAAACACAGTATTTTAAATAGGGTATAACTTTTCTTATTTTAAAAAGTATAATTTAGAATAATTTTAGATCAGTGGAAAAGCATCCTTTGGTTTTTATTCTCATAAAATTAGTTTTACTCTATGCCTTTCATTTTAATATATGACTAAGTCCATTGGTATGTACCTTTAATTTTACATATATACCCGTATTTTCAATATATCACTTATAGTATATCTTAGTACAGTAGTGGACAGAATTTGCTAATTAATTTTGAAGTACCTGGTGACTTAGTTTCATTAAATATCAGTTTTGAGTTTTTTTAGTTGTGCTTTTAGATTTAAGATGAATGCTTTTGTTTAGCGTAGACTTGTCTCATTTTTGTACAACCATAAAAGTTATTTTTAGTATTTAAAAATGGAGGAATACTTATAAACTGCTAAACAGAGAGAACTACATTATTTCTTGGACCTATGGTATAAAAACAAAAAGCAACAACATAAATAATTGGCAAAAACTTTGCCACATAATTTGCTGAAACTGGAAAATCCTGTGAAACATTTTATTGAATTACAATATACATAGAGAAAAGTACATGCATCATAAATGTATAGCTTGATGAATTTTCACAAGCTGACTGTGCCCATGAAACCAGCAGTCAGATCAGGAAACTGAGAAATCGTAGCACCCTAGATGTCCCTCTCATACCCTCAGCCACTCACTGTCCCCTCTCATGGGTAACCACTCTCCTGATTTCTAATATCATAGGTTGGTTTCCTGGTTTTGAACTTGATGTAAATGGAATAATCACCTAAAATATATCT